ATAAACATAAAAAAGGGTCAAATAAGTTGTAGAAAAGTACTTTTGAAGTTGTTGTAATTGGTTATACATTTGCAGTAATCAGTTACACCTGATTGTTTTTTTTTGTTTGTGTCTATTGTAATCGGTTACATGTTTGTGTTAAACGATTATAGCCATGAGTTTTTGACTTTTATGACTTTTAACTTGATGTGTTTGTATTTCAATTTTTGTATAAATACCATGATGGTATGTTTATAATATAAAATAAATAGAATAATAATTCTCACTCTCAATTATCTCTCTCTCTATCTATCTATTTATCTATATATCTCTTTCTCTAACTCTCTTCTCTCTCACTATCTCTTTCTCCACATACCCAAACCCTCCATTATTTACCAATTATATGATTTTATGTTCCAACATTTGACATCAAGAGTCTGGTTATGATCCACAAACACATAGTGTGCAACAATGAATTTTGTCTCCAACGATAGAGTCCTTACAAACCTATATCTCCTTGATGCAAAGAATTATAACAAATGATGCAAGAAAATGAAGGTGTTGTTTGGCTACCAAGATGTTCTTAAAGTGATCAAGAATTGGGTGAATCCCTTTTTAGAAGGTGCAACATTTACAATGAGCAATGCATAAATAAGAATAGAAGAAAGATTATAAGGCACTATTTTTGATCCGTCAATATGTGGATGGTGATTGTGAGTCGTCAAAACAAGCGTGGGAAATCTTAGAAAAGGCATATGTATCGGGATGATACAACAAAGGTGTCTAGGTTATAAACTCACAACATCAATCGGAATTAATTCAAATGGAGGAAAAGGAGACGATAAATAATTATGTGACGAGAATTATGTGATTGGTACTTGTAGGGTATCACATCAATGGAGGTAACAAGCTATTTGATGTTGTAAACATAATAATTGTGATCAGCCGAGACATGGTGATTGATGAATTGAAGCCTTTGCAGCAGACTGTAACCAGTTACGAGCAGGCTAAAACCGGTTACCAACAATCTGTAGCCGGTTACAGGTTCAAAATTTTAGATTTTGGAGAAACAAAAAAGTACAGAAGCGTCGCGCGTCGAAGCCTGAATTGATGAAAATGTAAGAAGATTAACTAGGCAAAGAGGTTTACCTAAAAGACTCCAGGATTGTGAGATATTTTGCGATAAGGAAATCAATGATGATGCTGATTTCGACAATTTTTCACTTATGGACGAATTTGAACCCGTCAAGACGGAAGAGGCCTTGAGTGATTCAAAGTGGATGTGTGCTACCAAGGAGGAACTGAAATCGATTGAGAAAAATATTACTTGGAGTTGATTGATCTATTGAAAGGAAAGAAGTCGAGCAGTGTAAGATGAGTCTATAAGGTGAAAGAAAATCTCAAAGGTGAAATAATCAAGCGTAAGGCTTTATTAGTTGCAAAGGGATTTTTCACAAAGAGAAGATATATACTTTGATGAAGTATTTTCATTAGATTCTAGAATTGAAACCATAAGGCTAATTGTTGGTATTGTGAATAACAACAATTGGTTCATCTATCAAATGGATATGAAATCCACATTTTGAACGGTCCCCTTGAAGAAGAAGTATATGTAGAACAACCCTTGTTTTGTTCTGAAAAACCAAGAAGGAAGGTTCTCAAGTTGAGAAAATCATTATATGGTTTGAAACAAGCTCTGCGAGCTTCAAACAAAAGGATAGAAAGTTTCCTAATAGAGGGTGGCTTCAAGAAATGTGTGTCCAAACATGAAGTTTATGTGAAAGACGGATACAAATGAAAGGATAATCATTCTTTGTCTATACGTAGACAATTTGTTGATCACGGGAAGCAATGAGAAGAGTATTTCTAAGTTGAAGAGTGAGCTTATGAACGAATTTGAGATGAGCGGCCTTGGTATCATGAAATATTTTATTAGCATAGAGTTCCACAAGTCTAAAAGGTGACTGTTTATGCATCAAAGGAGATATGCTCTTGAGATATTGAAGAAGTGTGAGATGGAGCATTGTAATATTGCCATTACACCAATTGAGCCATTATTGCAGCTGTCAACAAATGAAGAAGAGAAAAACGTAGATCCAACTCAATATAAAATGTGTATTGGATCATTACGTTACTTGTGTAATACACGACCAGATTTGGTGTTTAGTGTCTCACTTGGCAGCACTCAAGATGATCTTAAGATACGTCAAAGTATCTATTGGCTGCATAATTCTCTTTTCTGCAGCGGATACGAGAAGAAAATGCAATTTACTTTTGATGTGGAGATAAAGATGATCAAAAGTCTACAATTGAATTCATCTTTATGTTTGGTCAAACACCAATCTCTTGGTGTTCGAAAAAGTAACTGGTAGTTGCACTCTTGTCTTGTGAGGTCAAATATACTGTTGCTTCATTATGTGCATGACAAGCCATGTGACTAATGAATCTATTAAAGGATTTGGGAAGCATTGAGGGTGAGGTTGTTACACTTATGATTGACAGTGTTTTCGCTATTAATCTTGCTAAGAACTCAATTTCACATGAGAGAAACAAGCATATAAAGTTGAGGTTTCACTACTTGAGGGAGCTTGTTAGTGAAGGAAAGTTAAGGTTGAGATATTGTAGAAGTGAAGACCAAGCGGTTGATTTGTTGACTAAGGGAGTCACAAATTATGTGTTCAAAAGGTTGAAGATGAGCACGAGCATGGAAGACTTGGAGACTTGAAATAAGGTGGCGTGTTAAGAGAATTTTAGTGTTGTAACTGGTTAATATGGGGGTGTAACAGGTTACAGGCCTAAAAAATGGTCAAATAAGCTGTAGAAAAGTACTTTTGAAGTTGTTGTAATCGGTTACACATTTGTTGTAACCGGTTACACATTTGTTGTAACCGGTTACACCTGATTGTATTTTTCTGGTTTGTGTCAGCTGTAACTGGTTATAGGTTTGTATTAACAGATTACAACCCCAAATTTTTTACTTTTCTGACTTTTAACTTAGTACTTTTGTATCTCAATTGTTATATAAATATCAATGATGATATATTTGTAATGTAAAATGAATAAAATCATAATTCTCACCCTCAATTTTATCTCTCTCTCTCTCTCACTCTCTTCTCTCTCACTATATCTCTTTCTCTACATATTCAAACTCTCTATTATTTACCAATTATGTGATTATATATTCTAACATAAAATACTCACCTTTTCTCTACTTTGAACACCTTCCGCTATGTGAAAAAGTAATCAAAAGGAAACACTATACTCTCACTAAAGGGTACGTTTTAATGGCCTTTGAAGAAGATAAAGATATTGTCCCTCTTGATCCTCTTATCAAGAGATGAAAGGTTGGAGATAGTTATCTCAAATATTTATTCGTATATTAAATATTATCACAAAAAATATTAAAACTCATTTCTTATACTTCTTTTCCTCCCTATGTTCTCAAATTATTTTTACAATATATATTTATAATCTTGTACAACATGGAACTTTGTTGGCCAAGCATCGTGGCTTTTACAATTTTAAGTTAGTCAATTATTAATTATTTCTTTCGTTCTTTTTTAAGTGTTATTTTATTATTAAAATTTTTAATCAAACGATTGATTATTAAAGTTATTTTTTTTATTATATTTTCATTTTTTAAAAATAAATTTAATCATACTCTCTCTCTTCATAGGTTTTATATGATAAAAATGTCGTTCAAATTGAAAGAAAAAGTTTATTAAATTGTGTTAAAGAATATGATAGGTACAAAATAAAATATTGAATAATTAAAAATTAATATGAGAATAAAATAAATATATTAAAAATGAGATTGTTGTTTTGGAATATATGATAAAATTAGAAATGATAAAATGATAAATATTAAAGAGGTGTTGAGATAAAGATGGTAGGAAATAGATTAAAGAATTTAAACACATGAAGAGAAAGGCTATAAAGACTATAAATTTTATGATAAAGATAGTAGATCTAACGGAAATAAAGCTTCTAAACACATACATATATTTTAAAACTATTTATCAATAAGATAGTGGTTTGCCGGACGATATACTTATCCGTTTTTTTAATAAATTAATAATTTTTTGTTTTAATTAAGTTATTTATTTATTTTTTAAATAATTTTTTATAAAGTATATTTTTAATAAATTTTTGTTTAAAAAATATTAGATATATTTACAAATAAATATATAAAATAAAATCATCAAAAATAAAAACTATTAGAATTAATTAAAAATAAACGGTTTTAAGGTGAAACAAGTTGAATGAATAGATACGGTAGTCTTTAGCGAAGAATGTGTTTTGACGTGAGGATTTTGATAAATGTCATTCTTTAATAAAATAGACTTTTATAAACGGCGGACTCAATTGCAATAAAATAGACTTATATGGACGACGGACTCAATCCTAATTCGCTATTTTTTTAAATAGGTGGGCAGACCATGACCCGTTTTGTCATTGCTAATCTATACTAGATTGGTATATTTAGCAATAGGATCAATCTTCATTAGCTAAAAGTCTTGCTCATAGTAAGAAAGCGTAGTTTATTAATTTCACTCCACCACATAATAATTATAAAATATATGACTTGTCTTGCTCATAGTACGAAAGCCTAGTTTATAATTTCACTCCAGCACATAATAATTATAAAATATATGACTTGTCTTTTTCTACAGACAAGAAATGTCCAAAAACAAGGAGATACATTATCTATTTAATGGCCTAAGAAACAACCACCTAGTATTATATCAACAAACTCATTAATTCTACAACATTTGCTCATATTTTAGAATATGTGGTTGCAATCTATGGCTTGTTTTCATCTCTCTTCTCCGCTTATCATAAATTCAATCTCATCTGCTATATGTTGTTCCAATTTGTTTGTTAAACACAGATGAAAAATACAGGTCTCATTCATTCATTCACATTTTCCTTATTCATTATTTAGTTCAAATCACATGCAGGATCTAAAACTTAACTGAAGATCCAAACAACTAAACACTAAATCCACATAATTATAAACTTTAAGCATCCACAATATCCTCTGATTCAACAGAAGCCAAAATAAGCTCTGGTTCTTCCCTACCAGATTCACATGTTCCATCAATTGCATTGTTCTTCCCCAATGCCTTCAATGCCAAATGAGCAGCTTTCTGTCCAGATATCATCATTGCCCCAAATGTTGGACCCTGCAAAAATCACAAACAAAATCCTCGTCACACCAAAATCAAATCAAATCAAATGTTCGATATCATCCCCAACCAGACCATCTTTAAGACCGTGCAAGGCAGACTACTGTATAGGAGTTCAAAATTTGCCACGATTAAATCGTGACTCAAATTATTGTGTCTCTATTTGTTATGTAATGGTTAAACTATGTGTAGTTATACATGCCTCCAAAAAGACTCTGATCCAAACTTGCATCAAAATCAATCAACATGAAGCTGAAAATATCTTAGAGCACTAATTTAAACGAAGCTTACCATTCTTGGGGCACCATCAATTTCTGCAACTTCCATACCAGTAACAATCATACCAGGAACAACCTCCCTTGTAAGACGAACAATAGCATCTTCAGCAGTATTCATATCAAGTGCTTTCATCCCCGGAACAAAATCAATCATTCCAATACTCTTCAACCTCTTGACACCAGTAGCACCAAAAGGCCCATCGTGTCCACAAGAACTCACAACAATCTTCGCCTCCATAACATTAGGATCCATACACGACTGTGTATCATGGTTCATCGAAACCAAAGCCCAGTTCGTCACAACACCAGCAACTCTACCTTCCTTCACAATCAAATCCTCAGCAGCCACAGCATTGAACAGCTTCACGTTCGGTTTCGCGAGAAGCTTACTCATGATGGTTGAAGTGAACAACGCAGCGTGTTTGATGACAACGTAGTCCTCTTGCTCGTCGTAGGCGACACCGATTTCGTCGAGGAAGAGGTGAGCTGGTTTGCGGACAACCATGGCGGAGAAGAGTTGTCCTCCTAGCCATGCACCGCCGCCGGGGCTGACGGACTGTTCGATGATAGCGATACTGATGTTGGGATTTTTGCTTAGTTCATATGCGCATGAGAGACCGGCGGAACCTGCGCCGACGATGACGACGTCGGTGTCGGCGTATGTGATCATGTCTGTCATGTAACGGCGGGTCATTTCACGGGAGACGATGGATTCTTTGATAGGGTTGAATTTGAAGGAGTCTAGATCGTAAGGGGGTGTGGTTAGTGACATGGAGATTGAATTTTTCTGGGAGGTGGATTTCAGGAGGGTGGGGGTGCGAGTAAGAATTGGTCTTCCATTGAAGAATGAGGATTTGGGAGAAGTGATGAGAGATGATGCAGTGGCCATGGCTGCCATTGGAGGGTATTTTGGGAAGAGAAAATGTTTGATGAAAAATGGTATATTTGTGAGGGTAGAATTGAATGCTTTTATAAACAAGTGAAGTGCTGCTTTTATAAACAAGTGAAGTGCTTGTGATGTGTGTAATATCTGTGAATGAAAAATGTATGAAAGATAAGTTTATGCTTTTTGAGAAATAAGATAGAATTTCAACGGCTCCTAAAAATTTGATTTTGGGATTTTTTTTTACTCCCTCTGTTTCATATTATAACAAAAATTTATTTTTTTAATTTATTAAATAATTAATATATTTGATTTATTTAGACTAAATATATTAATTATTCAATTAAATCTAAAAAAATATTTCTCTTATAATATAAAAGAGACGAGGAAAAATACCTTTTGTCTCAACCAATGTAGTTCTCCATTTGTGCGCAACGTCCACATCACAAATAGCTACATTTATTATTATTGTTAGTGGTCTATTACTATTACTATTATTAAGAACCTCTTTAAGAAAAGCTAAAGATATTTTTTCTTTTAAATAGTAAGTAAAACAAGTTGCTACTTTGGTATATCCACCTCTACTATTATTGATATCATGAAAAAGAAAGATATGTTTTTTAATATGTAAAATATAAATATTTTTATAAAATTATTAAATGTTGAATTTTGAACAAAGACGTATATTAAGCTATACATTAAAGTGAAAAATAATTTTATAATTTAAAATAGAAAGAGTGTTGATTTTTTTGGACAAATTATCATTTTATATTCGTGGGTAAGAATACACTCTATTTCTTAAAAGAAATTGAAATTTTCATTATAAAGTATAAAGTTAAATAAATATGAATTATACGTTGCATGTCTTAGATATGTATACTTTTTACACAAAATTATAATAATAAAGAAAATAGAAATAAAGAAATATAGAGGATACTTATCTAGTCTATTACATGTGTGATGTTGAAAATTATTTGTATTATTTATTAGTATCAATTGTTAGAATATAAAATTTGATGATAGATTGATAAATGTCGTCTTATAAATTTTTAGGTATAACAGGAAGAGTTTTCGATGGGCAAAAAAATGAGGTGTATTGTGATACGGTGGGAGAACTGATTTGAGGTTTTGCGTTTATTTTCGCAAATGTTTCGGTTGAGCAAGAGTCGTCACCGACTTTTTATTTTATCCTAAGGAAAAGTTAAAAAGCACAGGAAAAACCTTTGAGATGTTTTCTTGGGTTCGGGGAGTAGATTATAGAAAGGGAAGGTACTAGCACCCTTTCTATCCATGGTTATCCATGGGCTCTTAGTTACTTGCTTAGATCACTTGCCTTTACTTTTCAATTGTTTGAAATTGTGCTTTGTGTGTGGTTTTGAAAATGTTTTAAAAAAGATGTCTTGTCTAGGAAACCATTGTAACAATTCTTGTTTGAATGTTTTACAAGGGTGTTTGTCTTTTTGAAAAGATGTTTCAATGTTTTTGAAAGTTTGTTTTGAAGTTGTGTTGTGATGTGTGTTTTGAAAAATGGCAAGGATTGTTTTTGCAAGTTTGGTCAAGTAACCAAGAGCTATCTACCCTAAATTTCTCAAAGATCTTTCTCATGTTTTAACCCTTTTAACAGTGTTGTTTCACCATTGTATTTGGTGAACAACCTTGTGTTAGGATGTTAACGGGACGGGCGCGGGTCATCGTTTAGACCATGAATGCAATAGTGCCAAGTATCTTTGGCAATTTTTCTCAAGGGACTTGATCATTTTTGTTTAGGCAACTTGATAGCGTCATCGAGGGACTATGATCATTTGATTTGTTTTTGTTTTGCCAAAGAGACTTAACATGCAACCATGACCCATTTTTGAAGGCAACAAGTGGAGTAACCCTAAGGGTGCAAGTGTGCATTGTGTTTGTTTTTCATGCATGTTTATCTTGAATTAGGTCAAGCTACTTGTTAATTGATTTTTTGCATACAAATCCTAAGTCTATCATGGCATAATTTAAAAGCTTTTAAATGCGGAAATTTAAATGCTAAGCTATTACAACCATGATTAGGGAGGGGGGGGGGGGGGGGGGGGGGGGGGTACAAGTTTGAATTTGGGGGATACTTTGACAAGAAATTAAATTCTAAGCTATTACATCCATATTGAATATACAAGACAAATATCTAATATTTAAATAAATACAAATAAATAAATATCAAATAAAAATGCATTATGCTAAAAAAGGATTTTTCATGTATGTAAAAGTATTTTTCAATGTGAAATATAAGCAAAATAAAAAGGGTTAAATTTTGATTATTTTTATGGTTTAGGGCAAAAACCCTAATTTTTGGATAAATAGTAATATTTATTAATTATGTACAATATTTGTTAATTATATACAAAAAATAAAAAGTATATTGTAAAAAAGTATTTTTGATGTCAAATATTAAATAAAAAATAAAATGTATTACTTCTATATTTTTGTCCTAAATATTTAATAAAATATGTATATGTATATTTATATATATTTAATATGCTAAATATGTACAAAAAAATAAAATATTAATTATTTACAAAAAAATGTATATTTTAGAAAATATTTTCAAAATAAAAAATAATGACTAAAAATAAATATTTTTGTATTATTTTTTAGGGTTTTAAATAAAAGGTTTTTATATTTTTTACATATATATACTAATAAAATGAAACAAATGCCAAATAAATATAAAAAAATGTGGAAAAATATTTTTAATGTTTTTTATGTTTGGACAAAAAATATCAAGTCAGAATAAAAAATAAAAAGTAAAAAATGATAAATATTTCACACAATGGGCCAGGGGGGTGCAAATGGAAAAAAAGTGTGCAAAGAGCAAAACAAACTCAGGCCCAGCCCAAGCCAACCTTCTTCAACCTCCAGCTCTGTTTGAATCAAAAACGCGCGTTTCCTTGTACAACTACCATCTCCTGATTCCTTGACTTTTAGCAAAAACTCATAACACAAATATTGTAGAGCATCAAGAGACGAATTCAGACATATAAAATACTTGACCTAACTCTAAGAAACCAGGGAGAATTTCTTCATCCCCAATTTCTGACCTAATTTTTCTTCAATGTTCATGGCTAAAATTCTCACAGCATAATTAATATAAATGAAAAGTAATCATATGTATGGCTTCAGGGCTATGAGTAGAGCATGTTTCATTCACAAACCTAAGCCTAACTCTTCCTAGATTGAGAGATAGAAGTCCATGGTTTTACCTGTTTCAGCTTGAATCGTGTACAGCAATGTGGCCAACTTCAATGGAGTTTGAGCTTCTGTACAGCTTGCCTGAAGTCCAAGGAAGCTTCTCCAACTCCTAGCTTACTCTGAATCACTCTATATCGTGCTATGGAAGTTCACCTGCAAAACTGAAAAATGAAAATGGCAGATGAGGTTAGGGGTGTTACAGCTGGTGTTTAGGGCTTGGAATAACTTCAATGGATGGTATGGAATGTGTTTGCAAGGTTTTTAGCCAAAGTGCACGAGTGGATTGAGTTGTGGACCTCAATCTGCAGCAGGTACCCTGTTTTGGCAATAAGATGGTGTTTTTGTGTTTTGGGAGGTCTGAGGGATGGTTTAATCGTGCCTTAGGTCAGTTGGGATGTATGGAAGATGAGAACAAAGTTTGTGTTTGGCTGTGTTGACAGGAATGAAAGATGGAGAGTTTTTTGCAAGGTTTCTTCAAATGTAAGCAAGGATAGTGTGTAAGTGTCAAAGGCCTGTACAAGCCATCTTGTATACTGCAAACAAAATCTCTATGCCCCCTCTAATCCCTGGATTTGATTTGCAATCTCAGATCTTTGTCCAAGGCTCAATGCATAATGGTTTGACATAAAGCTACTTTTGCAAAAATGGCAAAATCACTTTTACTACTTAAGGCTTAATTTGATGTGTAATGTCTAAATGGGTGAAATAATGCCTTAACACAATGGTTAGGCATTAAATTATTGAGTGCAAAGAGGTTTAGAGGCCTGCAAGATAGCATAAACCATGCTGATTTGAAAAATGCCAATGTTGTGAACATGCCTTGGCCATGAACAAAAGTGAGTTTTGGCCAACTTTGCAAGTTCGATTCTCTCTAACCACAAGGGTGTTTGATGAGTTCTTGGACAATTTGGAAAGCTTGGAATGTGTACTACAATCCATCTTTGTAATGAAAATTGAAACTACAAGTGGAACCATGTGAAAAATAGCCAAGAAGTTGGACAAAAATCCTGCCTAGAATAGGGCAAAATTTCTCTAAGTTAAAAATGTTTTGCACCCTTGTTCCAAAAATCATAACTTGAGATACAAGCTTTCTTTTAGAAAACTTTGTGAATCAACGTTGTATATTTTGCAATGGACTACAACTTTCATGTTTCAAGTTTTGTTTGAATCCATTTGCATCTTGGTGAAAAAATGGGACAAAGTTAGGAAAAAATAAGGAAATTTCATAACTTAGAAAATTTCTAAGTTATGAAATTTTTTCATTTTAAAACCCTAATTTGTAATTTTTTGTTTCTTGATGAACAAGTTTCATAATTTGACATGTCTTGATGAAAAATGAATCTTGACACTTGATTTTGACCAAAAAGTCAAAGTTTGACTTTTTAGTATACAGTCAAATTTTGATTAGTTGACTGAAAAATTCATCTGTCAATCCTATGCATTTGAGATCTTTTGAACTTGTTGAATGGGTCAAGACAATGCCATTGAGTCCTTGAGTCCATATATGAGCTTGTTTTGCCATTGGTTAGGTCAAACAGTCAAAAATTACCTTTGTGCAGTCAAAACCCTAAAAATGACCATTTTGCCCTTTTGGTGATCTGATCAAATTTCTTGTGGAGTTGTGATCCAAACTTGATCAAATGATTCATATGAGTTCATAATGTTGATGTGGGTCAAAAATCATGAGGTTTGATTGTCAATTGGCCATAGTTGACTTTTCCCCCAATACAGTTGATTTCTAAGTCAATTGTCCAATTGACTGGGCAAAGATTGGAATCAAGGCTTGAAAC